TCACCACCACCACCACTACCATCCCTTCAGCACCACTACCATCCCTTCAGCACCACCACCACTACCATCGCTTCAGCACCACCACCACTACCATCCCTTCAGCACCACCACCACTACCATCGCTTCAGCACCACCACCACTACCATCCCTTCAGCACCACCACTACCATCCCTTCACCACCACCACCACCACCACTACCATCCCTTCAGCACCACTACCATCCCTTCAGCACCACCACCACTACCATCGCTTCAGCACCACCACCACTACCATCCCTACAGCACCACCACCACTACCATCGCTTCAGCACCACCACCACTACCATCCCTTCAGCACCACCACCACTACCATCCCTTCAGCACCACTACCATCCCTTCAGCACCACCACCACTACCATCGCTTCAGCACCACCACCACTACCATCCCTTCAGCACCACCGCCACCACCACTCGTTAGTTCGCCCTCCCCCCACACCTTTATCTGCTTGCTCCCCCCCCACCACCGCACAACTCCCAACACCGGCGGTGTTCCGCGCCGCGCCGCGTCCTTCAGGGCTGTGTTCACACCCCTTTGTGCCGCCCGTGTCGTGAAATTATCACATCAGTCATGCTGTTCGTGCGGCCGCCGAGCACACAGCGCTGCGCACCGCTGATAATCAGCGGGCCCCTTCCGTCAGCAGACGCTCGGCTGAAGTCATTCGGTGTGAAAGAAGAAAGGATCGGTGTTTGCCTTATTAACATGTCCTTCAGGTGCTGGGCGCGTTTGAGGGCGGCGGTGGATGGGGAGGAGGTGTTAAAAATATATATTGGAGGTGGAAGAGGAGAGTTGGGGGTGCGGGGGGCTGGCTTTGTGTGGCGACAGGCAAGGCAGGCGAGCAAGGGGGAAAGCTTTACTCTACATTCATTTGCAAAGATCCTTATCTCGGGGCAGGCCGGGGTTCGGGCGCGCGGGATGACAGATTAATTAACATCATCAGCAGGTGTTGGCATCCTGCGGAGAGGCAGATAATGATGGTTTTGTCAAAGGGAGGGGAAAAAAGATAGAAGCACCACCTTCAAAACAGGTCAGGGACTTTCAAAGTGCTGCCGTTTGACCTATTCTATCTGGAACATGCGATGCAAGTGAGGGGAAATTCAGCCGCAGATGGGAAAACTGGATTGGGTTCTGCTCTTTGGTGCGGAATTATTTATCTATTTATTTATATCGCCAGGCTGCGCGCCTAATGGTTCGACAGCTCGGCTCGCAATTGAAAGGTTGTGAGTTCAAACCCCAATCAGAGGAGGAGGGGGTGGGTTTGGTGGGGGGGGGGGTTCACTCAGCCCATCATCATCATTTTGTTGGGGTCGTTAAAAAAGCACCACTCTGTGGAACGTCAACAGATGTCATCGTTCGGATAAACTGCCCCCCCCCCCCGGCATATTCATGGACAATTTTCACCAGCGCTGACTCAAGGACGCACGCATTAAGGATGCACGGCACCCTCGCTTATTTGAACAAGGAGAGACACTTTAACTTTTGGCTGCCCCGGGAATAGTTATTAATTAAATGTGGTGCGAATTGAAGGCCTTGGAACCAGCAATTGTAGGACCTACTCTTTTTTATGTGAACGATTACATGTCTACCCTAAGCAATGCTCATGCATTGGCATTGAGACGTTGTTTAGTTGACTCGTGGTCAGTGCCCTTGCCAACAAACTATTATGCACAAAGATGACGGCTCGACTCCAACTACATCATGGCCATTCGTCATTGTCTATCCGCTGCTAACATGAAGGCCTCCCCGTGCCGTCGCGATCCCTCGTGAGTCCAGTGATGACAAAGTCCATTTTACTCCTGTGCAGGAGCCGATCTCATCACTCCGTCTCCGTGGTGATCGTGCTATATCGGCCATGCTCTCTTCCTTGGCTGCCATTCTATCTCCGGTCTTCCCCATCGGCCATCATCCCATGTGGTGACTTGTCTTGCCCAAGGCCCACTTCCTTAACCGTCGATGCGACGTCCCTCCAATTTGCATTTATCTGATGAGTGTTTCTCTCTTCGGTCTCTCGGTGTGAAAAAGCGAGACAGACCGATGGTGGAATTGCAGGCCCCATTAGCATCCCACCACAGCCGTGCGCTAATGTTTGCGGACAGTTACCTAAGCGTGCACCTGCTGCGCGGTACACCTTAAAGACCCCTGCGAGATCGTCGTTCCCGACAGGGACAAACTTCGTGTGTTGGTGCTGTATACAAAAGCTCACATTTATACATCCAAGTTGTTCCCCTGCGCAGTTGAGGATTTAGGGCAGCGCTCATTTTAATTTCTGTCCCTGAGCCGGTTGTGGAAGTTGCACATTCATATGGTTGGGGGTCAGTCCGGTTATATGACAAAGCCACTGGTTACAATTACCACAGATTAGTTACAACAAAAACGTGTTTTCAGCTAGTTCTGCAAGATTCATAAACGCAAATATAAGCTGTTAATTCGAAAGCCACGAGTGGCTTCACCAGAGTCTGATCCTGGGTCGCCCTATTCAGTAATTACACGAAATTTTCAAGTAATTAAAATCACCTTAAAGCAAAGTGAACGCTGAAAAGCCACCGTCTAACGCTGACAAAAGGATGCTGTGGATTCGCAAATAATAAAATGTTATTCCTGTTGTAGGTTGTACTCACTAGTAAAATACCGAGATACAATTTGTAACAAACAGTTCACGAAGCAGAGCATTACGGTTCATTTCTGCAGCTTGCTAGACATTGTTGAGACTCGCCTTCAGTAGGACTCATCAGGCAGCTGTGTCCGCTTAACAGGCTAGACTCTGCCGATGAGACCGAGAAAGTCAAAATCCCTCCAGAGTTATTGCTGAAACACATGCTGCTGGATAATGTGTCTGGAAAGCCAAAAAGGATGATAACTAAATCGTCTGTGTTGTATGTGGAGACACTGAATGGAGGTATGTGTATCGATGTTGATACCCAGAGCTTTATAGGCAATGACACCACAATAATATTAATATCGTTTAACATGTAGGCTTTGGCGACCAATGTAATTCATAATAAAGGTTTTTGGTTTAGATCGCGTAAGTATAAATGTGTTGGATCACATTTAGACACATTTATACGTATGCGATCTCACCCAAAAACATTTATTATGAATAATATGAATATACCACGATGGTTGCTCAAGTCTGCCATGCACTGAGTGTAAGTCGAATGTCTATGAGCTGTCATCTGGTTAACTTTATGACCGTGAGAAACAAGACAGGTCAATTTTATTTTTGTTTAAAACACGTGCGGGGCCTTTCTGGCACAAATCTGCCACGCACAGCGCCATCATCACAGTGATACTTGTAAACACAAGGACAGACAATTCTATACAATCAGTAAATATGTATGTACGATCTATAGTTGTTTAAAATATTAAAAATAAAAGCAAGTTGTGGCTGTGAGTTTAGTGTGCAAGTGCAAAGAGATGTATTGTTGTTGTTGTTGCTGAGTTGTAACTTGAATGTCGTGGTGACGGAGTCCTGAGTGTGCGGATTTCTTCGGGGAGATTGTTCCAGAGGTGTGGTGCTGCAAATGAGAACGATCTGTCCCCCACGGTTTTGTCTTTGCTTTTTGGGTTGTTTTGCTTGATCTGCATGATGTTTCTGAAGCAAGGTGGAGCTTGGTTGTGTATTGCTGTGGATGCGTAATGGGATGATTTTTGAAGTGTTTTGTATTTGATTGGTAGCCAGTGTAAGGGTTTTAGAGTTTGCGCGATGTGGGATGATTTCCGGAGTTTGAAAAATTAGTCTAGCGGCGTCGTTCTGGATGATTTGAAGGCGTTGCGGATGTGCCTGAGGTATGCCGAACGGTAGGGAGAGTTGCAACAAGCGATGTCAACCACAGTTCGACAGCCAGTCCAGGAATGAACTCAGAGATCACGTGACCTGTTAGCAATTATTTATCGCTGCATTTCATGTTTAAAGAAACGCATATTAATGGCTCTCAAAATTTGATGCGCGTGTGACCCTTGCGAATATTATAAGGAAATTGTTGAATCTGAAACAAGGAAACAGCTGATAATTGGTTCTTTACCCTTCTATCTGGCAACAAAACTGACACCTTTTTGCAAGGAGTCATGTTTGCATAGACCGCAATACCTGCAGTCATAATACAAACAAAAGAACATAACTCTGATAATGTGCACTGTCCTTGAAGTTGATTGGTCCACACCCGAGACAGCTTTCCTTAGAGCCTAGTCTAATATGGGTTGGACCAGATGACGCCAAAAGGCGCACAACTCAAGGACAATGCACCATCAGAGTATGAGAGCTCGGGGCAAGCATCTACACTATGGATAGTGATGGTGCATTGTCTTTGAGTTGTGCGCCTTTTGGCGTCATCTGGTCCAACCCATATGAGACTAGGCTCTAAGGAAAGCTGTCTCGGGTGTGGACCAATCAACTTCAAGGACAGTGCACATTATCAGAGTTATGTTCTTTTGTTTGTATTATGACTGCAGGTATTGCGGTCTATGCAAACATGACTCCTTGCAAAAAGGTGTCAGTTGTGTTGCCAGATAGAAGGGTAAAGAACCAATTATCATATTTTTACTGGCAAATGAGGTCCCCATAGTGAAGGAAACAGCTGTTGTCCTACGATCACTTTTCAGCCCTTGTTTTGTGCCTTCATGGTCAATTTAAAAACCCAACACATTCGACGGTAAGACTGCCTTCAAAGGAAAAATATATATAATCGGTGACATCATATGAGGACAAGAACGACCACTATCTGAAACATCGCCTATTATATATACGTTCCTTTATAAGGTCACAGTCCTATTGAAGAACGTGTTGAGTTCATTTGGTTAATTGTGCTTCACAAGCACAGCACTTTAGCAGCTGTGCCAACACAGCAGCAGCATCACCAAATAAAGTTGTTAATATTTTCCAGTGGATCGCCGCGTTTTCCCTTTTCATCGCAGTCGCATTTCTCTCCTCACTCGTCGTCGTATTTCCGCCCTCCTTGTGCCAACAGCAACTGCAGGAGTTTTACAAGAAGCAGCAGGAACAGCTACACCTGCAGCTTCTACAACAACAACAGCAGCAGCAGCAACAGCAGCAACAGCAGCAACAGCAGCAGCAGCAACAGCAGCACTCAAATAAGCAACCCAAAGAGGTAGTTTGTGCACGTGTGTGTGTGTGATTGTTAACATGAGTTAATGTGAGTTGTGGGGAGCGGTAGTGTAGCGGGTAGCGTGCTGCGCTATGAACCTGGTGACCCGGGTTCGATTCCCGCTCACGGCCAACACCAGTGACGATTATGTGAACCGGTTCTGGGCCTCCCCTAGGTCGACTCAGCCTGAAATTAGTACCCAGTGCGGTGTGTAAACATCGCCACTGGAGAGACAAAGGCGGTCGGGCGTGATTCTGGCCACCCACCCCCTCGTTTACCGTTCCAGCCTTCCTAGGTGCTCGCTAACAACACTTGCCCCTACAGTCTGGTAAGGCTATACGGGGGATCTTTATCTTTGTTAACATGAGTGGCGATAATCGTCAAACGTGAGTTCAATTCCGAGCCACTGCCTCACAATCAGTGGAAAATAACCGTACCGAGTCCTGGGACTCCCGTGGGTCGACCCAGCCCTAAATGAGTGCCTGGTGCAATGTGTAAACATCGGCACTCATGAGATGAAGGCAGTGGGGGTTGTGTTGGCCACACCACCTCCTCGCGCTCCATGCCAATCTTGAGATGTGCTCGATAACGACGCCTGCCCCAGTGATCTGTGTGGCGATACGAGGAGAGATCTTTGTCCGGTGGTTGTCAAGAGAAGACACCGGCAGTTTTCTTTCATTTCCGCAGAAGAGTCTCTGAACCACATTTTCCCAAGGGTTCTTTCTCTAAATGGCCAATGCCTACACGAATGTCTTCTTGGGATTGGACAATCAACGCAAGCAGAACAAGATATGTCACATGTGCAGAAGTCTGAGCTCCCAGAGAAGAGCCTCACATAGGACAAGGGAGTGTTGAGCCTTGATGAATAACCATCGTTATTACGTATTCTTATCATGCATTTTTATAGACGCATATGCTGCATCCAAAGTGAAGATGTTTTACATTGTCTAAAATAGTTTTGTATTTCCCACCCTGCCCAAAAAGGCTATTTACTCTTCTTGGTTCTTTCGGTAAAGTCACGTAGAAGGGAAGTAATAAAATAATAAAAATAAAACATAATAAAATAATTCTCACGACGTTTCGGCCACAACGCAAGCAGGCTATTGACTGTCAATGAAGATAGTATTTTTAACACTGATAATTAATTATCAGACTATTTATTAATCTAAGAATAGCCTCATTGAGTCTCAAGACTCTTGTTGAACAGGATGGTCCTGCATCTGGATTGTTTGGCCAATGCCAGAATAATTCTAATCAGTGTCTGGCTTCGTGTAGGAGGGGAACCGCTCCGATCCCCACGCACAGCAGGGCTAGCACTAGGAGCCACCATCTCCAGGCCACGTGTGCCAGCCCCACCTACAGAACACCTAGCAGGCCCTGGTGCTCACCCATCCAGTTCTTAACCATGACCAACTCCTGCTTAGCTTCTGAGATACCACTAGATCAGGAGCATTTGGGGTGATTTGGCCATGGGTATAGTATGTTGTTGGACATGCAATGAGAATACGAGGTATTGAATATAATGTTTTGACTGGGAATGTTAAAGGTACAAGAATGAATTTAGTACATAAGCGATTTGAACAACTGGATGCAACTCGGAGTATCTCGTGCAAAGTTCTTGACGAGATATCATGGACAGAGCTAAATGGAATTCCACGATCACCGACGTGTGTGAGAAAGGACACGGCACATAGACAGAGAGTTGTTGTTGTTGATGACGACAGTTTGGGTATCATCGAGAATAACTTTGGAAAAAATGACACCTGTTGAGATGGGTTGGCTTTACGCTTCGATCTTTTCATCCGAGCTCTTTTTGTAGAGAAGGCCTAGCAGAGTACCGCGTGAGCCTGCCACGTTACACCGGGGAGAAAGCCGCTGCTCATTTGAATGCCGGAGTCCATTCGATGCCCCCTCCCGCCCCTCGTGTCCGCATGCATGAGGCTGATTTGTAATGCGACAGGCCGTCCCAAATATTAATCTGCTCCCGCCGGATGATTTGAATTAGTGCACACGTTACACGCTGCTACAGATTACTGCGGCTGGGTTGGGGGCGAGCGAGGCAAGGGGGCGAAATGTGAAGATGGAATGAAATAAATAAATATACACAGTGAATTTGGGGGATGAGTCGGCCCTCAAACAAGCATGACCACAACGCCTGTCACAGCAATTTGTACGACATGCCCGTGTGTGCGCGCGTGTAGGTGCGTGCGGGCGTGTGCGCACGTGTCTGCATGTGTCCATGTGTATATCGCGCAGATCGAGGTGGGAAGCGGTAGTGTCGTGGTTAGAGCATTGCACTACAAACCCGGCGGACCCGAGTTCAATGACCGGCAAATCTCCCCCCGCGGATTTGTGAACCGGACCTGGGCTTCGCCTGGGTTGACTCGGCCTTAAATGGTGGCATGGTAACGGTGTTTAGACATCGGCACCGGGGAGAACAACGGTGGCTGGGCGTGGTGACGGCCACACCACCCCCTCGTGTGCCATGCTCGCCAACGCCACTTGCCCCAACAGCCAGCTCGGGCTCTATTAAGGGATTTTTAGTTTGAGTTTTCTGCACGTCCGTATTTGCGCAGAGACACGGTGTGTGTTGGCCTGGTGGTTAGTGCACTGCGCTACAATACCAGCCATCTGGATTCAGTAGCTACCCATGCGCATCTTAGCCGGGTTCTTCACCTGTCGGCCAAATACAACAAGAACCTGAGCCCGCTCCCGGTTGACTCAGCCTTGAGCAAAGCCCTTACCGCAGTGCAGGTTTTGTCATCAGCATTGGGGAAGAGACCAAGCGGGTTGCGTGTAGTTGTGGCCCCGCCGCGGGTGCTCACGGACATCGCATACCTGCATCGTCTCTCTGAGATGTATGGGAGATATCTTCACGTGTGCGAATCTGTTGTTATTTTGTGAAATCTACGTCACGCCAATCCGTATAGTGTAACAAATGCACCCTCGTCAACAATATCACCTTGTCTTGAACATGCGTAGTAGTATATAGAGTGCCAATCAGTATTATTAATAACGATATTAACCACCAATACCCTCTGAGCTAACGCGTTGATGAAATACCCTTTACCGCATGGAGATAAATGGAGCAGCGATGTCGAAAATTGCTCAATGGAATTAATCCACCACAGCGCACAGCTCTCCAACAAAATTGCCTCATTCTTGTTTATTGACGACCAAGGCAGTGAGTGCATTATTATTACACTCCTATAATAAATAAGCCACTTGGAGGGGAATGGCTTTGCAAATGTACGAAAATGCAACGATTCCTCTTTGCAACCCGGCCACATCATACTAAGTTTTATTTCTAGCTCTGCCGTGCGCTCTCGCGTCGTTGAGAATCGGGTCTGGACGCTTTTGCTGCACTTGCTCGGGAACTTGTTCAGCAACCATTTAAGTTCCCGAACAACTCGGTTCCCGAAGAAGCTCCCCGGCACTTGGAGCAAAACGTCGGACATCGTTGCCGAACAACGTGGCACGACCCGACGACACGTCGGAGGGCCCCGTTGTGTTACGTTCACGTTTCTTTTGTCCCTTCCACATCTCAAATGTCTTTTCTTTCTCCAATTTAGCGCCGTGCTCTCCTTAGCTCCACCAACTCTTATCTCGTATCGTGGCCAAGCAAAGCTCACATTTGTCATTTCTGGCTTCAGTGTCGTCCCCTTACCTTGCCTCATCCCCTAACGCGAAATCCCGCGGTATATCTCTGATGCTTATCGGCGAAAAAATCGCTCATTTTTATAAAGTGCTTTTTACTGCCTCTATGCCCCCACCCCCCAACACCTACCCGGTTCAACCGCCCTTATTTTTTATACATTGAGCACAAAACGTCGTTTGAAAAAGGAATGGGCCCGAAATTCCTGTGACAACTTGACAAGTGTTTGCGCGGTTATGTCGGCATTTTGGTTTTCGTCGCTAAACCCTCCTTGCGTCAAGAGCATCAATTCACCGCTCATTCGCAGAGGTAGTGTTTGCAAATAACGATGGTAACGTTTTCATTTCTTGCTCGGGATGTTTAGTCAATTCTTTATGAGCGTATATTAGTCATGGGGATATCCTCTTTAACATCACACATTTTAACGATGGTGTTTTGCTATATCTATGCTCACGTGAGAATGGGGGCGACAATAACCTTCATCTTTGTTGGAAGCCCCTAATTAATGATGGAAATTCCACATTACTATATCAGGCACCGGCTATGTAATTGCCAACCATTAACTTCCCAAAGAAGAGGTAACACATTTTATCTCACGAGATGGATGATCGTATATCAGTGATCATTTATTCGCCTGTTAAAGTCGACAATCGGAGGTTCAAAACGCACTGTGTTGTGTGTTGCTCGTAGCCACGATCGCCGTAGTCCACCACGCAAGCGCGCTCGCGATCACGTGTTCACGTGATCGTGCGTTAACGCGATCGTGTGTCTGCGCGTTCAACCGAGCGCACGATCGCGTGAACGCGCAGACACACGATCGCGTGCGCTCGTGTGATCATGCGTTAACGCGATCGTGCGTTTCATGCATGCAGGCTCCAAGCAGGCGAGCGATATGAAGCTATCAAGGTGCCGAGGGGTACGTGGGCGGTACGCGGCCCGCTGCCACCGCCGCTTCTGTCGTATTCGCTTTCTTTTGCGGCGGGAGAGCCGCGGTCTCGCGAGTTCTCATTTGGGATGTTTGCTAATGAATCACCCGACACCCAGGGAGGCCTTTGCCGAGCCCGAAAACACTGATTGTTCTCCGTCTCGGAGCCGCGGAGAGCCGGCGAGGGAGTTTCGTCTTCCCCTTTCCTGGAGGTGCAGTTAAATTAGCCTGACGTTTAAAGCGTGAAGCGAGCTGTGAGGTAGCAGGATGCCGGCTCGCTGATTAATTGAGTGCCTCGTTCGAGGGTAGCGATGGGCAGGTGGAGTGCTCCGCGCACTGACACCCTCATAAATCAAATTGACAGACCTCAGCGGTTCTCCTAAACCCCCTTCGCCTCCCGTGCACCCCCCCCACCCCCCTTTTCCTACTTTTTTTTATTTCAAACTGAACCACGCACTCATCAGACAGCAGCCACAGCCTGCTGCCGAAATGTAAACAGGATACTGAGAGAAATTGTCTCCGCTGATAACGGTGCCGCGCGTGAACACAATCAAAGGAAGCTGAGATTTTTGCCAGATTAAGAATCTCCTTTTGTGCGCGATGGAAAGGTAAACAAAGCAGGGTGTATGAAAACATGTGATAGCGCGGAACCTTTCGCCCGCCCGTTTCTCGACGGTTCGGACGGACACGGTCCGCGCCGCTATCTCTGTTCCTTTTCGCCGTGCATAATGGACACTTATTCCCAGATGGGCGGTCACCGTGTCAAAAAACTAAACTTTTTAACGTTGCCATTGTGATCCGCGAGCCCTTGCAGAAAGCCAGAGCAGCAGCGCGTCGAGAAACAATAAAGAGAGGGCGGACACTTTAAACAAAAAAAAACAATGACGACGGAGGGTCGTGTGCCGTATGCACGTCCAGCCGGGCGGCTGCTCTCGCGAGTACGATGGGACTTTTTTTGCGGTGGGAAGGTCGCGAGTTTAAGTCGCGGTCAAGGCGGGGGTCGACTGAGCCCACAATTAATTCACCCAGGGTCGATACAAATGAGTGGTGGATTTTTGTGAATTTCGGCGAGGGTGCTTGCCCAGTGAAGAGACTGGCCCCTGCCAAAAAAATGTGGAATTTCCACCACTGGCTGAGTGTTGGAAATGGGGGAAAACAACATCCCAGTGCTCATCTCTGCATAGAGTCATTGTTAGTTATTTCGGATTTGAAGACTCTATCTGATATTCCCACGTACGACCTCAGGCGATGTTGGGAGATGGCAAGTATTCGACGCTAAATAATTGGTGTGGCTGGTTGGCAGCCACAGCTTCACTTCCGTTTCTGTCGTCCGTGCTGAAACCCATAAATGACGAATAGTCTTGTTGGTTCATGATATGAACAGTGATGATGGAGCCCGTGGTTTGGAAAAGTGTCACAGCAGCGAGACGTTAACTACGTCGCCTGGTAAACAGAAGGTGGTGGGTTAGATCCAGACCTTGACGCCGGATGTCGATTTGGAGTTTGCTCGTCCTCTCCGTGGTCGTGTGGATCTTTCTCCAGGTCCTCGGGTTTTGTCCCTCCACAATTAGAATCAACGTGGGTTTAGATTATTTGGCTGCTACATTTCCACGTGATAAACCACTTCGTTGAGCTATCATTTGTGGCTCCTAAAAAAGAGCTGTGTAGCTAAGCGGGCCTTACCTGATGAAATGAAAAATAGTTTAGTTTATAGAAATAAATGAGTGACCTCCTTCACAGAAAAGGTGTGATTTACATTCCCGTCCCCCTTCAGAACTCATCAACGTCCCAAGGCTTCAATCCCCATCCAAAATAAATCTCTGACTCGTGGCTTAAACAAATTGCTCGCCGCATTCTTGCTGGAGAATGACTCTCCCTGCAAGTGCGATTGTTTAACTGTGGAAACATGGAAGTCACTCTGAGCCAGTGGGGCCGCCAGTTCATTGAAACATTTTAAATGGAATTCACTTGATTCTTTAAAGTAGTGACAGTTTGCAACTGGCCTCATGTCTGGTGACTGTTGAATTTCTCAAGGATTTTTACCACATTTTGTCTGATAGCTTTAGCTATTTTTTTACCATTGTGTATGATATTTTACCAAGATTACAGAGACATTTTACACGGGCAAAATTATTTAAAACATCTGTATTAAATGGTAAGAGTTAGTTTTCTCACTATATATGTTTTGTCATGTTTTTTTTTGTTAACTACATTTTCAGTACAGGCGTAATCAACAATAAAACATACTCATGGGGCCTTTCTTGCCAGTATCCAAATGTCAGAATTGATTTTACCCAGGTGTTACGATGTTAAAACACCAAAGAGAAACCGTTTGCAAAGATTTATGCCTGCATTAACCACACATACTTGTGGCGAACATGCAAACAAAAACATGCCCTGCTAGCATATGCATTGTCTTTGCAACTGAGTGGTCCACATCCGTGAAAGCTTCAAACCCGTGAAAGCTTCAAATGAAAATTAATATTTGCCTTTCAATGCAGTTCTCGACTGCACATTTGCCCTTTGTTCTCGTAAGCTAAAGGTAAAGACACAGCCCTGCGATAAGTTGCTCATTCCACCGCTGGTCGAAAGGCCTCTCGCTTGAGGGTGTCAGCATCTTCAGAGCTCCCTCTAGTGGAGGGTATTTGGCCTACTCTTCCATGTTGGCCTCAGACACCATGGAAGACTTAACAATACCCACACCCTACCTCACCACCCACGCACTGCTGATAGACTAACTCCGACGCCCATTTACGCTGCTTGCTGTGGCAGGGGAGGTGGGGAAGGGGAGCTTAAGAAACTTGCACCGTTGTTGCAGCTGACCGTGCCAGGAGATCAAACCGCGGCCCTTTCGATCGCAAGTCCCAGTCTGCTCACCATTAACACGTACCATGGCAGCCTAATGTTACGGTAAAATGTAAACGATATGTCACGCCCCACACTTTTTGATCACCTTTTCGGCAGATCTGCGCACACATCAATCGCAAGCATTTTCCGAGCCGACTGACAAGCCAGCCAACGCTGTTGACTGCCTCTGTATTGTTGTTGTTATTGTTCAGTGCTTTTAGATTTAGTTTTATCAAATGCGTGGGCTGGTAATGCACACCACCTGTGTGGATTTGTGGCGGTAATGTTGATGTATGATGATGATGATGTTGTGTGTGACATGAACACCTGCATTGAAATTCATTGATGCCTCAGCAATTTTTCTTTAAACGTAGCCTAAACTTTTCAGTGAAATACATAATCATCGGAGAGGTCAAATATTCAACATTAACCTATGAACTTTAAGGTTGGTTCTCCAGGGTTCTTGTGAGTGCAAAAAAACTTTAAATAAAACATTGCGTGCATGTGTGTGCGAGCATGCATGCGTGTGCACGCGTGTGCGCGTGTGCACGCGTATATTAACGTGCGTACATGTGCATGAATGTGCAGGTATACGTGTGTTTGTCCGCGTGTCCTTGTGTGCGCGTGTGTTTATGTACGCGCGTGAGCGTGTGCGTGCACCACGTGCGTCCATGTGTGCATGTGACACAGTGGGGGCGCACAGGTGGGTGCATCTGCCGGTCATCTCGGAAAGTTCACCCAAAACACCTGGACCTGTCCCTTGACCCCCGCCTGCCAGCGAGCCTTCGGCAATTCAAATGATATCTTCAAAGTGCACCTAGTCTTTGCGCAAGCAATTTGGTGGCATCACTGTCACTTAGCGGGGAATGGCAGCTGTCGTCGTCGTAGTTGTTGTAGTAGTTTTTTGTTGTTGTTTCATGTGTGTGTGTGTCTGTGCGTCCCTTGCCGTTGCAGCACCAGCAGCAGCAGCCGCAGCCGGCTCAGCATCAGCTAGCGGCGCAGCAGCTGGCTTTCCAGCAGCAGCTGCTACAGATGCAGCAGCTGCAGCAGCAGCACCTGCTGAACCTGCAGCGGCAAGGCCTCATGCAGCAGAGCCTTCCCCGGCCTGGGCTTCAGCAAGGTGCGTGAGCGTTGCAGAGTTGCTGGAGTTCCACGATCATCTAGACAATAAAAAGGCGCTCAGCTCAAGTAGAAATTGATGATATCACCGTAGCGCTCACAAACAAAGGTCTGAATATTAACAAAAAAATTTTTTTATAATGAAGTCCAGAAACCATAGGTTTTGGTAGGAAATACAAGGATCAATTGCTTTTTGGGTTAGGCCACGTGGTTGTTTTAAAACGACTCCTTGGCCTGACCCGACAAGCAAATTAGGATTGGCTGTGAAATCTTATGCTGGGCCAACGTTGCCATGTTTATTGAGATTGTACAGACGGAAGAAAGTTTAAAATCAGTGCACGTGAGAGCCTCGACGGTTTACAGATCAGAAAACGTGGGCGCTCACAATGGTGCAAACACCAAAATGTGTGCAAGTTAGTGTACAGAGATGCACGCTTGTAATTAAACGGAGAGACAGGAAGATTCACAGTTGGATTAGAGAACAAGCATGCACCCCTGCACGTTGTCCTTCCCATCGCACCTCCGATTAGCACGGTTGGCTACATAATGGTGCGAAATAAGTTCAACACAAAGATGTAACTTTAACTGGCAGGAAAATGAAAACGCCTTAATTATTGACTGAGTGACACCCAAAGTAAACCGAGCGCATCCGATAGGTCGTCCACCGAGGAGATGGAGCGATGGAACCAGTCCGTGTGCAGGAAATAGAGAGATTGCTGTGCCACGTAACCAGTAAATAGAGCACGCCTGATGATGACGATGACGATGAGATATAAACAGGTGCCCTCAGCAGCAAGTGTAGTAGTACAAGTCAACAGGTGTCGTGGGAAAATGCCAACATGGTAAAGGTTAAGAGTTTTAAATTCAGCACGCGGCTAAGACAACCATCACCATATGCATTACCCAGGTATGGATGTGTGCTCAGTGAATTGTGTGTGTTCGTAGTCCAAACAGCAGCTTCCAAAGGCTATGGGGGTACGAGTGTATGACATTAAAATTCTTGAGAATAATTCAGCGGGGCCCTAACACCTTCCAGACAATGTTTCATCCCATCTGCTTTGCCCTGTGAGTGTGTGAATGCGTGTGTATGTGGGCGTGGAGGGGTATGGGGAGTGATAGTGTGTATTGGTTAGTGCGCTGCACTAAAAACCCAGCGTACCCGAGTTTGATTCCCGCTCACGGCTAACACCAGTGATGATAATAATTATCTGAATCAGTCCTGGGCCTCACCTAGGTCAACTCAGCCTCAAATGAGTACCTGGTGCAATGGGAGACGAAGGTGGCTGCGTGTGGTGCTGGCCACCCACCGCCTCGTGTGCCGTGGCGGCCTTTATAGGTGCTCGCTAACAGCACTTTCTGTGCAGGCTTGAGGGAGGGACCGTTGTATGTGTACATAGTTAAAGGCAGTATCAGACATTTCCAGTTTTTTTATTTTCTAACCGGTCTCTGCTGGCAATTGAAATTCACTGCTAGGACAATTCTATCCCAAAAGAGCATGTCAAAATAACTAGTCTGCAATGTTTTATTAATTAATGCCATACAATATGCACAGCGAATGTAGAGAGGGTTGAGCATTCTGCTAAATAATTTGAAAGTATTGTCCTCGTTCTTTCCCCTTCATTTAAGTTGTTTGGAATCGGTGAATATGAAATTTGTTCTACATTTGTGGTGATCATCTTCGTTAAAGGAAGGTAGCACTTGGCTGAGTTGAATGTATGTGTGTCAGAGTGTGAATGTGTGTGTATGTATGTAAACAACTATAAATATTTTTATTTTTATTTTACAAGGTGAAGCCCACCGAGCTGCAATGTAGCTATTTTCCAGAAGCGACCCGGCCACATATGATAGCTCAACTAAGGGACTTATCACGTGGACATTTATAGCAGCAGCCAAACGCATCTTGATTATAAATGTTGGAGGTGGGAAACCAGAGGACCCAGAGAAAAATCCACGCGACCACGGGGAGAGAAACACGCAAACTCCAAATTTATAGGCTTCAGGGTTGGGATCGAACCCACGACCTCTTGCATACCAGGCGAGGTAGCTAACATCTCGCCATGTGCGTGATGTTGACACGGGGAGCAGTAGTGCCGTGGTTGTCGCACTGCGCTACAAACCCGGACGACCCAAGTTCAATTCCCACTTAGGGCCAATAACAGTGACGAATTTCTGAACTTGTCCTCAGCCTCCTGTGGGTCACCCCAGCCTTAAATAAGTATCCGGTGTGGTGTATCAACATCAACAAAGGGGAGACAAATGCGGTTGGGCATGGTGCTGGCCACTCACTCCCTCATGTGCCATGTTGGCCTTGATATGTGCTTACTAACAGCACTTGCCACAACAGTCTGTGGAGGTTATAGACGCGATCTTTGTCTTTGTAGCGTATATGCCAATTTTTGACAAATCTGGGCCAAATTTTGAATGTGTAGTCCAGTGGCGAACACATCAACTAAAACGGATGTTTTTGTAAATTTCTGCAAAAGTTTCCACTTCTGAATCCATGCTGATTTAGGCTTTGTGTATTTGCATGATTGTACAGTTATTCAAATGTTTAGAAGTAATAACTCATATAGAAAAGTAGTGGGAACTACTAAACAAGATAAATACAGTCATGGAAAACAACTTTGGACATACAGCATGTTTTTGAACTCAGTCTTGACGAGCAGATTCATTACTAGGAGGTGCAATGCACAGTCGAATTGTCGCAATTAATGCTGCCTCTGTGCACTTTACACTGTTTTACTTCATACATTAAATATTAGGAGCAGTGGCAGAGTGGTTAGCACACTGCGCCATGAATCCGGCGACCTCGTTCCGATTCCCGGCCATGGCTAACGTCAGCGGTGAGTGAAATCCAAACTCATTTCCGGCCTCCTCTTCGCAACCCACACGAATAAACTCCGGCACATCACGGTTAATTAAATGTCTGGCATGGCGTGAGGAGGCCTTCGTCCGGCAGCGGTTTCACAATGGGCTGTCAATTGTTACTGCTCACTGCCTGTAGAGAACACGTGGTTCTGCAGCGGAAAGTCAGAGACAGCCGTTAATGTCCTCCTCCTGTACCCGGATTTTAACCCAGAATCCGAGCGGTCGTCTCACGCGGCATTAGCAAACCCTGAGCCACCCCAAGCACGTTAAGAGGCGGGGGGGGGGGGGGGGGGCCTTTCTTGAAAGTCTGTTTGTCTTTGCTCTTCAAAGCTATGGCACAGACATTTGATTGGCTTTGGGAATACATTAACAAGAGAGCAAACAAAGATCTTGAAACCCTCAGTGGCATGTGGATCGTGATGGGGATTATCTCAGGCAGTTGGAACTGACATCGCCTTTGGAGGTGTGAGGAGATGGGCAGATTTGGAAGGCTCGGGACATGTTCCTCTCGCTCATGTTCAGTTGCAGGGCTTTGGTGCTCCTGTGGAGGCACAGACTTCCTTTGAGAGTGAAAGGTTTCGAATAGCAAACTGAGTGCGTACAATTTAGTCGCTTTGGTAAGTTGTAAAATAGATGTTCCGAGTTGTATTTTTGCTTAAGCAGGCGAGAACTCGGAAGAGATCAGGCGATAGTCTAATTTTCAAGGGTGAACTGGGGGTATTAGTCTGCCAGTCGGAGGAAGCGCTTGCTACCTAAGTTCCCAACTGAGTCATTTGCGGTGTTATTTTGGAATTTGGTCAAATTGTGCCTTTGTTGCAGCTGTGATTAGAACTGGAGTATCACCTCTTTTGCGAGTCCTTGGCCTCATTCCAGTCAGCAATGACTTACCTACATAGTGACGCACATAGCGATGTGCGATTTGTAACACAAATATGGAACGATATATGACATTTGTCAAATGAGTACGACTGCATCGTTTTTCCCGGCTGGGCTGTACGGCTCTCCGCTGCGTTTCGGGTCACTCCGCATGCTGTTTGGCACAATGTCCGACGTTTCACTCCACCTTTTAGGAGCTTCTTCAGGAACTGAATAGTGTTGTGGAAGTGCTTAAATTCAGTTCCTGAAGGAAGGTCCCAAGAATGTGAATCTTTATGAAGACTGTCTGAGCAGGAATCCGATGAGCTATGAAGCTCTTTTTCACAGATGTCTAGTATGGGTGGGTCAGAAACCGCACGCCACGACCCAGAAAAACGTCGGAGGTCTGTACGGCGCAAGCGCGACAAACCTACGCAGTGCGAAAGTCTTAAGTTCGGAACCGAGCAGGGGGAGTGAGCAAGTCGTGAAACAGAATTCCAGTCCCTCAAGGTCAGAAGCAGAAGCAGACACTTGGCCTCCGCTTAGGTGACCTCTGAACCCAGCCCACTTTGATGTGATGCTGCAAACATAACACATATCGTCCGTATTTTCTAAATATCGCAATGTCATAATTATCGTTGCTCATTTTATTTCTCTTCATGATTTTCTTTCGAGACAAAAATCAGTCGTGAAATAAAAAAACGCAATAATTAAAGTTGTAAATCATCCGTAGCATTCACCCTTCGCTAAATGCTTTTTGCAATGAAAATGACAACATCACAGTTATAAGACATCATCGTTTTAAGATTTAGTTTAATAGCTTAATTATATTTAGTGTAACTAAAAGCATTGTGCGTTATACGCGTCATATATTGAAATGATTAGAAAAGCCTTAGGGCCGTGTTGAGTTGAGCGAACGCCGGTTTGAAAACAAGTTTTAAAGTGATATTTATTCAGGCAATAGGCACATCAAATCACAAAAAAGCGACACAATCACAGCAGCATGAAAAAGCACCGTTACAAAGTTAGGGGGGGGAGGGATCCCGATATCGCCGTTCGCATCGTGAAATTTGAAATTATATCACCCCAGCCTGAGTGCTTAGCGCAATGGCACCACGGCCGCGCGTGGCGGGGTGGAGCGAGAAGAACTCGTAGCTTCTGGTGGGACCAACATCGGCGGGCACTGGCGGCGCGGATGTGACGAATGGATCTTCCGTAGCGACTGCCGTGGTTATTGATGGCTGTGCTCTCACTTAGCCCTGCAGGCACGGTGTCCCGATAGCGATCAGATTGTTTGCTTGAAGGGTGCACAACATTCAACGCCTCCCTTGATTAAACGCTGTGTGTCGGAGCAAGAGAAGGAGGGCTTCGGATTATCCGTGTCCCGATAAGATTTTTTTTTTAAATATGTACATGTATTTTTCATGCAGTATTCTCTTTCCTTGTTTTTATCGCGGCATCTCGGGGGTGTTTCCATTGAGCCGTGTGTGTGCACGCGAGGAGGAGTAGGACGGGTCTTATCTCAACAAGTCTTTGACGCGGCTCACGCTCAGCAACACCGACAACAACAACGACGACGACAACAATATTATCGTCGTGCGCATTTAAGCAATTGGTCTCACAATCACCGCCGCCCCACGGGCATGAAGCGGCAACGGCCTCCCGCGCCACGCTCGAGCGCGCCACTCGAAACCGCACAGCGACTGCGGCCTCCATTATAAATCCTAATGATAGGCAGGTTTTGGGTTTTATTTTTTCTCGTTATAGGGGTGGGATACGCCAATGGGGGGGGGGGGGGTGCGTGCAGTCTACCCCATTTGCGCGGTGATGAATAGTGACAGATATGGGGCTTTAGCCACGTCCATGCGGCTGCGGTGTTACCCACAACGCGCACGCAACCCAACGATTAATCGCCGTGGTTCCACCGCGGGGTTCGCAGCCAAGTACCGGGGTGTTGGGAGGCGCCGGGTCACAGCCGCCGCGTTTAACTCGGGTGGGGGGCACGGGGGGGGTAAACGCTGTAATGTGCCTTGGCCTAGGCGACGATGCTCAAAGGTAGCATTTCGTTAAAAAGCTCCCGAGTGTCGTATCCCATTGCTCGCCCTTCATAGTTCAGCGCTGCTGCTGCCGCTGGCTGGCTGTGTGTGTTTTGCTGTAGATGGCCAACGTATCGCCACGTGCTTCATGAAACGAGGCTGGCTCGGGACTTTCCCTCCGTCTTCTCGTATAACCGAATAGTTGTGAAGGTCGTGAGTTCGCTGACGAGTCAGGGTGTCAACTCGGGGTTTCATGTCGTCTCACCAAGACAAAGAGACAACCAATCTTCGTCACACCTCATCGACACTGAGTCACAGTGTCAGTGAGGTGGTATTTCTCTCCATTGGTTGCCCTGAGCCAGTGGTGGTAATTCCACAATACCGTGGTAGGTGCCAGTCTCTCTTAATGTCTTAATGGGTGGAAGAAGAAAAACACTCAGCACCGTTCAAGGGGAGCGGTGGCATGGTGGTTAGCGGCGCTGCGTGACGAGCACGGCGACCCGAATCCGTAGTCCTGCCACGGCCAGCATTGGTGGCGAGTGAGTTCAGAACAATCTGTCCTCCCCCCCCCAACCTTCACGGACCTACACTCACCAGTGTGGTGAAATGTGGTCAACCATCCTTCATAAACAGCATGGGGGGGTGGGCTTCACCCCACAGTGGATACAAAGAGGGCTGTACATTAATATTCGGTAGTTATATTGCTATAAAACTGGCATTCATTTTACCATGTGACTATGTTGAGAAAATGAAGCGGTAATGCTTAAATGTGAATGCCTCGCATATCTGGTGGATATTAAATTCACTATCTTTTACAGCAAAGCGTGTCATTATTTTAAACGTCACTTTGTTACGTATTGCGATGTTGTGCTTTGGTACTCAAAGATTCCCCCTCGTACTAGCGGATCTCTCCCTTCCGTTTAGTGCCGAGTAATTCGCGTTACGTTATCAGCGCGGTCGCACGCGCACAATATTACGGAATAACTTAATTTACAACACCATTCTTTATTAAGCCTCACATGTATGTGTTTCTTTTTTTAATTGACGTTTGGATTTTCCCTCTCAATTTATATTAATCAGGAAATAATGAGATTGTGCATTGGCGCGGTGTTACTTTGCAGCTCTGGATCTCAATTAATACCAATTCCTCAGCCGTGTTTTTTTTTGCTCACAAGACTGCTAAAATATCCAAATTAATTTGAAGGCAAATTTTTTTCCCTCAACTCGCACAAAATGTCCGTCATCGGCGTGCAGTTGCCGAGTTAAATCGCGCAAAGCGTGAATACGGTTGCCGTCGTGCGTGGTGAGGCTCACGTTATTCTGTGTCCATGAAAGGTGGTTCATTCTGTCGTGCTCAACCTGTGCGCGTTCGTCTGTGTTACCGACTCTGTCCAAGGGATCGTGCGGTACTTTGCATTCACCGGCCATGAGTCGCTCGTACTATTGAGTTTTCTCGTCAATATTTATGCAAGAAAGGGCCACTGGCCTAAAAAGAAGTAATTTTTTTTTTACTCTCACTAATGAAGATGAGAATGAGTACATTTGCAATGGATGGAAATCTGAGATTAATAACCTCGGCGGGCTATTGTCTGTTTAAATAAAGGGCAGTGAATATAAATTGCCAATTCGCTCCGAGACAACAGCCAAAGTGTCTCTCAGCCGAACTGGGCATGAGCGGCGCACATCTCGAGTGGGCTGTACCAGAGGTCACAACCGGGTACCTGATACCCGTACCCTACCCGATACCCGTACCTGGCCGGGTACGGGTACGGGTACCCATTTGCGACCCTGGTGCGGCCGGGTACGGGTACGGGTAAGGAATCAAAACCCGTTTGCGACCTCTGGGCTGTACCAGGGCATCGGCCGGCTGCGCAAAAGCTCAGGGCCCCCAAGTAGCCCAAGGGACTCCGCGGAGGTTCGCGACAAAAACAGAGGTGAACAATTTTTTTTCTCAAACTCAGATATTTTGAAATATCCCTTCATCCTAATAACACTTTTCGAAACAATTGTGATTGTAGTTCGTCTATAACCTCAATGATTTTACACAACTGTGATGTGAATTGAGTTATGTAGTTTATACAGCGTATAATGTTTGTAGTTGGGTGACAACACCCAAACGTGATGTCTGATAGCTGCCTTCAGTCGGATAGGACCGGCACAGTCGTCTCCTCGTTTCCATGGCAATACTCAGGCAGTGATTTAAATATATACTTTTTTACTTATTTACCCACGAGAGCCACACTGAGATCTGGGTTGTTATTTTGTGACGTTTCTCAGCCAATTAATGATGAGTGGTGTTTATTATGCAAGTGGGGAGGAAACCTGAGCACCTGGAGAAAACCCAAGCATATGACGGGGCATTACTCGTATTCCATTCAGATGGAAACAAATGGCAATTAGTCCACTTGCTGTACCGCCTACTCCTGGCGAGCCAGGGGTATTGCAGATCCTCGACGCCCACGGGAAGGGAGTTCCACGGCATCTGTGCGGTGATCCACCAACCCTCACTGCCGCCTCGACAGTGCTGCTGGATGACAGGCCACGTGTGTAGCCACCGCCGCTGCCGCCGCCCGTTCTCTCCGTGACATTGGCACAAAGTGTTACTTGTCTTTGTCAACCGCCAAAGGGAACCTCGTGCTGGGTCTAACAGGGATTTACATCAATCATACATCAATATTTATTTTACGTGCCGATATCGCTCTCAATGAAGTCGGCAATTGGTACACATTGCAGCAGGGGGCACGGAGCAACAGGAATGAAACAAAAATAAACCTCGTCACACCCTCGACGGCTACCACCGACTGAGCAAAGTAAATTGCCACCACGTGTGAAGTAAAGTGCGACCGTGCGCTTTTCAACGTTGCGACCTGCCGGCAACCACTCTCCGGTTACTGCTGCGGTAACCGCCCCGCTAACCGCCGTTGTCGTCTGCCGTGCGCTGGCGCCAGGCCTCATCCCCGCGGAGCTCCAGCAGCTGTGGAAGGAGGCGGCGATGGCGTCGCACAGCTCCGAGGAGCCACCCCCGCACCTGCCAGCGGCCAAGAACGGAGGCCTCGACCTCTCGCTGGGAGGGTCCATCGGCTCGGTGACCTCCTCCGGCTCCTCCATGTCGTCGTCCACCGTCTCCAAGACCTCCCCCAGCCTGCCCTTCCCGTCGCTCACCAACGGGCAGGCGGGCCCGGTGAGCCACTCTCAGCGGCGGGAGAGGTGAGTTGGCCAGAACGCCGCGGGGACCGTTGCCGTTGGCGAGGGCCCCGCTCGCCATTGGCTCGTTGACAATCGTTTTGCTTCGTAGAGTTGGAAGCAGTTAACCGGTGCAGAACGACGATGATGAACTCAGTTTTATATCACACAATCCGCACAAGGCCTCAAAGCGCTTTCCATCCAAGTGACTGAGGCAGCTTGTAAAAACGGGTGAGTTTTAAGACGATATATGAAAAGTGTAACAGGCTCAGATTTCCTCATGGATGATGATGATGATGCTCGTGCGCGCTTTTGGTATTTGCGAAATTCTTATGGCACTACGTTTCAAAGATTGGTGCAGTCCGCCAGTAGGGGGGGGGGGGGCGATGTTACCACGTGGGTTTTAGCAATTGAGAAAGAAGGTCGTGATGGTCAGGTGTGGCATTGACCCGATTGACCACTTGAGCCTGGATTTTCATTGGCCATGGCTCAGTAGACGGCCACTCGGTTTTTCTCATTTGACTTGAAATCATAACTCCTGCCTTAAATGAGCATGGCATGGCACTCTTTACCATTGGGTGCACTGGAGCCAGTGGTGGGAATTCCATACTTCCTCTGGCAGGGACCAGCACCTTATCAAAGACCAGCGTCTTCATAGAAGACCTACTTGTGGTTCCTTGGCAAACTGTGACACTTGGTTCATCGCCAATCATTAACCTCAACCCATAGACAAATTTCATCCTTAAATAGTTGACGGCTGTAAACCTGCGCTCGTTGAGAACCGTTTTTATCACCAATTAACAACAGCTAAACGTGCATAATTAACTTTTGTTAACTTTAGCCTCAGAGACAGCAGTTAACCCCGATCGATGGATCGATGGGCCGCTGTTAGCACCGCTTCATTGACGGCTGTTATTGTTTGCCTTGTGGTCTGTTGACACCGTTGTCGTTGACTAGCTGATGGCCGTCAGCCTTGCGCTTAAGAAACTCCTCAAGGGAACTGACGAAATGTCCCACCGCATGACCCTCCTGATGAACGGGAGTCTTTGTACTCGCCTGGATAAGTGCGGTACGTCACCATGGACCGTCCAGTAAATCACTGCAGTCTGCGTTCCTTCAATGGAGGGGGAATAGCAAAGCTACGCAAACTCTCTCCCGAAGATCTCTCCTCTTGGCTTGCAGACCCCAAGATTGGCATGCGGCTCCTGAACGCAGTGCCATACGCAATAATGGCATATTAACATTGCATATTAACATTGCATATAAAGCTTGACTCTCCAAGTCGCACTGACTACTAATAACCTACCCGTTCACTTACGATGTTAATTTTGATTCACTAACGATCTGCGGTGAATGTTAAGAGCCGTTCGTAATGAATCAGGGAAAGCTCTTAACCTTGTCTCATAGACAACAGTTAATCTTGACTCGTGTAGCAGTTACCCTTGTACTCAATGAATATCTGTAATGAGAGTTCCATTGTGAGCGGAGGTCAAGAGGCACACGTGAGTGAGAGGCAGAAGTAACGAGCAGTACCACATTCTGCGGATTAAAGGACGTGCCGGGAAGTCAGACGTACTCTCCTCCCCCCCCCCCTATATGTTGACACTAACAACAACAACCACACTTACGTGACTAAATACAACACGGGTGAACGTGCGTTAACATCACACACGCTCAGAATGTATCGTGGTGCTCATCACGATATGAACTGCTAATGTGGTATTGTCTTACAAATGGTGCACAATGCCGTGAGTCTCGAAACTGTTTGGCGCACTGAGCGCAATTGGGGGTTCTGCGCAACCGACCAATGTGCTTGTCGGGAGAAGCAAACCACGTGGATCATCACCTGAGATGCCCTGCAGCACCACAATGCCACTCCCCAAGATTTGGCAATGCCAACACCAGAAGCGGTGGCCTGTGCAGAACATTGGGAAAAGGCGATATGGGTTGGACAGGAGACACGAAGAAGACTGAGTGCCGACTTACAGACCAGGCGCAATTGTAAACTTGCGTGTGCCAGGTGTCATAGCAGGCCACAAATCACGTGACGTACCCCCCAACATTTGCTTTAAATTATTGAGAGAGAGAAAATATATATCGTGTCATATTGTAGATTTCTATCGAGGCGATCGTCACAAATAGCCAACATTTATCCACTCTCTCTCTCTCTTAAAAGACAAATCCATTTGTTCAAATTCGTTCCAGGTTTTGAGTGGAAAATGTGTCCTGTTACACATGTCTATCACGTGTGGGCATTAAGCATTTGTTCGGACTTCTCAAAATGTTCTGGTCACCAGCACCGAGCGAATGATTATACTTGTGGGCGAACATCATGGGTAGAAAAAACCCGATTTTTCCAGCGGCAGGCATCGGGTTTTTTCTTTAATACAATTAAACCCGATTTCGGGGAATTAAAACCTGGTTTAATGAATACGAAACTCTGATCCAAGGCTTAGGCTGCTTCCTCGTCAGTGCTGGTATCGTACTCGGGGGGGCCGTCGGGCACGGGGTAGTCATAGCATGCGGCGGGCAGGTTGGTCTTGATGAACACGAGCTTCTCCACAATCGTGGGCACCGCCAGTGAGTTCCTTAGCTTGGAATGGATGAAGCCCATCGTTGAGAAGTTGGCGAAGTGCGGTTCTGCAATTATAATCAATTAAACCGGATTTCTCCCAATCTCAGATGATCGGGTTTAATATAAAAAGGCAATTAAACCCGATTGTAAAAAACCTGACTGTGCCACCCTTGGCGAACATGAGCACTCGCATCGTTTAGCCCACAAGTTCGATTCTACATTTTTCCTCCCCCCCCAAGCCTTAAACTAAGCAAAGATTTATTTGACCTGAAATTGCCAACTACTGGTAACTTTCCAATGCTGATTTCGGCCCACAGTTTGGTATTTATTTTAAAATAACATGCTCTTGTAGAATAATTGTTGCTCGTGAGTGCCTCCTTATAGGGAAGTTTTTTTTTTTCTGGAAAGCATTTGTGCGGGTTAAGAATTTCAGACTTGCCAGACATTTATTAGCATACAATATACCATAAGTGGAGTGATTATAGCAATCCGGAGCAGTGAAACATCGGATGTGCTATTTAAATAGCAGACATATAAGGATGAACAAATGTTAAAAACAAAGTGCCTCTGTATGTTGTGCATGTGTGTGTCTAATGTGTTGCTTTTTGTAATTTAAACCACTTGGTATGTGCCATGCCTTCCATACACCAGACTGCAATCATTACAAAATTGCCTAACTTTTCTGTTGCAATTTATAGCTTTCTTTTAAACGTAATGCAATGAAATTAATTTCAGGTACAGTGTCGGTGGTGTCTGGCTGGGTGTTGATGTGGAAAGTTGTGAATTACATTCCTGGTTCGTGGTGAAATTGAACCAATCATCCCTCATTGGCTGATAAAAACAACCCGTACCACTTCGTGGGAGGTCCACCGTTGGTTGAACATTAAAATGTGACATTTTTCACCACTGCCGTTACGTATGAGCACCATGCGTCTAAAAATTATTGTTAAATTGGCAATTGTCCATTCAGGTACGGCACATTCAGGTTGTTGTTGTTGTTGACATGAGCCTGTAGCGTTCCACTGCTGGCCTCATGCCTCCCCAAGTCTCTCCCACTCGCCCCTCCCCTTGGCTGTGCCTGTCCAGTTGTGACCTGTCCACTCATGACCTCCGAACTCTGTGACGTTGTCTCGCTGCTGCTGCTGCTGCCATCGCTTCTGCTTCTTTGTCACTTCCCTCTCGGTCTCCGCTCTCACGGAGTTCGTTCCGTCTCTTGTCGGTTGTTCCCCTGCTGCCCACGTGCGCCGGGATCTCTTTCTGCTTTGGCAGCAGCGTCGCTGAGGCCCTGATGCTCGTGATGTCTTCATTCCTCAACCCATCTGTCTCTTCGTCTTACTCTGAACGTACTTATTTCCATAGATCATCAGCAAAGCTTGTTGTGTCCATTACTTATTTATTTGTTAAGGACCATGTCTCTGATCCATGAACTAAAAACTGGCAACATGCACGTAGTTTTTAAATTGTCAAAATCAGATATTAAAATTGGTTTTACCCAAACTGTTGAAGCTTATATTGGAGTGCCTCGTTCAAGTGTTTCTTACCAAGACACAGTCAATAAAGTTTGTAGTGCCCAATCATATAACTTTTTGCAACCAGATCTTAATTAATTGCTAGTGTTAGCATATTTACAGGATAAACCTCGAGATCATAAAAAATTGATTGTTTCTTTACAAAACACTTCATTAACAAATGCATATGTTGTCGACTGCTATTCAGGAGAACCATATGTAGAATGTAAACATATGGGTTGTAAAGATGTCTCCTTTTACGTCTGTTTATTCGACTTTGACATCTGCATTAAAACCGCTGGTTTAATGACAAATATGAGCGCTTGGATCCTAAATGCACACTTAACAACGTGTAAAGAGAAAGTGGTAGTAACGATGAGCGCATGTAAAGTCTGCATTTGTGACGATGACTTAAAACAAATCTATATTCCAAGCGGTAGCAATCGTGTTTATTTTGATTGAACGGGTGGTTTAACTTACACGTCTTTTTCCTAAGCCAGAAAAGTCCCGTTGTTGCTATGAAAGAAGGGCCATTGACCGACAACGACACCGATTACGCGCAGCGTATTGCTTTCGTTTTTAAGGCCACGGTGTTGTTATTGACAGGGAACGTGTTGAGTTGGTGTTGTTGGCTGTGCTTCTGCACCGCTGCCAACGCGGCAGCCGCAGCAGCAATCACCCCGTGATTTGCTTCATTGGTGCGTGCGGTTCGGCTGCTCGGATGCCCTCCCTCCACGCGCTAACGCCGCCGCTTTCGTCTGCTCTTGTCGCGTCCGCTGTCGTGGTGGTTCAACTGACTTGTGGAAGCGGAGCGCTGTGTGATGTTCACCGGCGTTGGAAGGCAGAGAGGTCTATTGAAGTGACTCCACATCTATGTCTGGCGGTGTCATCTGCGCAGAGCGTTCTCCCACGCGATGAAATGCTCTGCTGGCAGGAGGCATTCGACATCTCTTCCCTTTGGTGCTCCAGTACAGTCATTGTTGTCAACATCATCAGCGGCAGCCATGGTCAATCCGCTGCTGGATGAAGGCCTCCCCGAGCCTCCGCCACCATCGCCGCCCCCACCCCTCACATTGTTGCGATGCAACAATCTGTGCAGCACCTGCACTTTAACTGATTTCATCGCTCCATCTCCCCAGTAGACGTTGCCTTCTCGAATATAATTACCGAAATACAATTATTGATGAAAAAGATACAACATGTTACAATTCATTAGACACATTTTTTTGGCTTAATTGTGCGTAAATAAATAAGCGTACCTCGCTCCCTCGTATGAATAAAACATGCTTTTTATGCAAATACGAAATTAACGAATGTGATTTGTTTAATTCCACTTCGTTTTGTTCTCTCAAGGAAAGCGTTTGTATGAAATCCATAATGCTCATTGTCTGTCAGCTCCACGTTGCATTAAAGTTTGATCTAATTAAACTAATTCACTTACACTTGCCTTAATGAACTGTTAGGAATTCAATTAGCGGTTGATTATCATATTTACGTAACCCCTTCCTCTTAGCGCACGATTATTAGCATAAATAGCAATTTGCGTAATTAGCAACGCCGTTAATTACCCAAGAGCAATTAACAGCGCTCAAATATAAAGGGCATGCGCTCACCTCCAACAAGAGGCGTGCATCTTCAGCGTGGCGTCTGGATCAATGCGAGCGAATCCTTCGTGGGGGGGAGGGGGGCGTGAGGGGGGGGGGGGGCTCATTGCGTCAGCGGAGAAGGGATCCTTGACTTCCGTGCTCACGCTGCTGTTGTACGCACGTGTGTTTGGACTTCTTTCGCGCCGTACGTAGCCAACGGTGCTTATCGGCGGTTGCGGGAACTGAACGTGCCTGCCCGTGTTCACCCTTTGCGTGGCGTGTGTGCGTGTCTGTCATTTGTCTTCGTGAGTCTATCTATGTACATACACGTATGTTGAACTTTTTTCACACAGCTACGTAGCCGACCGTGCTGATCGGAGGTGCTGTCCAGGGAAATCTGTACGTCATACCGGGACATTGTGAGTGCGTGTACGCAGAGCGGTGGTGCAGTGGTCCGCGCCCCGCACTACGAATCCAGCGACCCGAGTTCGATTCCCGCTCATGTCCAACGCCGTTGACGATTATCTGAACCGGTCCTGGGCCTCCCCTAGATCGACTCAGCCACACATGAGTAATGCCTCGTATTAAGTTGAATATTTAATAATTCCGGAAGAGGGGAGAACTACATAGAACCTCACTGCCTTGAGTGGTTTATTATTACTATTAAGCAACTGAGGAAACCTGGGATTCGTGATGTGAATGACTCACAGATTTCCCTGGTCAGCTACCTCATCAAGAGGGTGCCTTGGTCGAGCCAGGACGAGGACAGTTGGCAGCCCCCCACGTAGCGGTCTCTGTGGGGTTTGTGAGCTGGCGTACAGATCTTGCTCGGGCACGCTTTGTCACTCTGTGGACTCCTCGGTCACTCTTTGGAGCATGCGATGCAGATACCTGGCACCTTTAGCAGACCCCTTGAAGATACTTGAACAAACGCATCCCGCCCCTCTGCATCCACACCCCCACAGTCCAGAGAAAACCTCTGTGAGACTTAGTGCCACGGTGGCGAGATGTTAACTACCTCGCCTGATATGCGGGAGGTCGTGGGTGCGATCGCAAACCCTGACGCCTGTATATGTGGAGTTTGCACATCTCTCTCCCCGTGGTCACGTGGATTTTTCTCTGGGCCCTGCAGGTTTGGAACATGCATTTCGAGTATTTGGCTTCTACAAATGTCCACATGATAAGCCACTTCGTTGAGCTATCATTTGTGATAGCCAGATGACTTCTGTAAAAGAGCTACATAGCTCGGTGGGCCTTACCTGGTAAAATAAGAATGGCGTATCGTTTAAGTAAGCGAGGTTCCCCTCCTTCCTCTCTCTGTGCGTTTGCAGCGGCACACAGGACGATCTGGGCAGCGGCAGCGGAGGCAGCAGCACCAGCAGCAGCAGCCACGCGCTCTTCGGGCATGGCGTGTGCAAGTGGCCGGGCTGCGAGGCGGTCTGCGAAGAGTACGGACAGTTTTTGAAGTAAGCACGGAGAGTCGAGCGGTCATTTTCAAGCCATTGGCCCCAACAGATGGCTTGTGGGTACCACCACCCGCGGTGACAAATGCATCCAATCATTGTCTTGAAATGTTTATTTCGAGATCACTAATTTGTAAGTTGGGGTTTAGGGCGTAGCTTTTTAGGAGAGGAAATTTTGGTTTTTATCATAGGGGAGGTATCATAGTGTGTTGGATAGAGAATGTAATTTGGAGAAAAAAATTTGTATGTCGAACTTTTTTCGCACCGTACATAGCCACCCGTGATAATCGGAGGTGCGGGGGAAGGACAACAAACTAAGAACTTGCGTGATATGGAACATCTACGGAATAAGAAATTGAATATGAAGTGTGTCCGTAACACAGACAGCGATAACTGCCCATCGTGCATTTGTCACCTCAAGTCGTACCAACTAGACCTCTTTTGCCTCGTGTGTTGTAGGGGAACGGAGGCACGGCATTGCAAGCGGTACATCTCCAACTGCTTTCCACAGTTCTCATTCCTTCACTCACTCACGTTCAGTTTGAGTTCATTTTTGGTTCCCTGCTACTGTAGTCGCAATCGCTGGTGTGATAAAGGGGCTGCGTATAACTTCGCAGCCAAAGTGATCAACGCTGAGCCAGTTTGCAAAGAGTCGATTGTTTAATTCCCACTCCAGGCAGCTGGTAATTTCTGCTGGGAATTGGCACCGTCTGATGTGATTTGTAGGTTTACGATTTCTCCAGTAGCATTATTCGCAAGAATAGGCCATTATATAAAGTACAATTTGGTGTAATATAGCTTCTGAATTTATTTAACTTCCATATCATATATAACTTACATATTATATATATATACTATCCTGACTGTTGATTTGCAACCCAACTTCACCCCTGTCCATAAATTATTTCAAATATGTCTTGTCACACTTGCTCTCTCGCTGTGATTGGGCTGAAGTCATGTTACGTGAGGTTGACACTCGCGTTGTCAGAGGCAACGCAAATGGAAAATAAAATGGTCGCCAATGTGTGCAGATATTCCACATAAAAACTGTTTTTATTGTTTTAAACTCATAAATTGGAACTTTTATCATAGTTATTTGACTTTTATATATCAATATTATTCTGTCCTATGATGCCAATTTTTTTTTTTGCAATTGCCTGCACAGGCCACAATCAATTGACTAGATTCCTTACCTGGTTCAGGTCAACTCTCTGGACTGGGCCACTGAGGCAAAATGAGAGGGTGGGGGAGTTTGAAGCCAGGCCTACGATAGGCCACTTACTCTCCTGTAAAAATTGCCAGAGCAAGGCATTGCAAAGAAAACTGACAATCCATCTTGTATTGCAAAACAAAAGCAAACACAATGTAAACAAACAAAAATTAGCACGTGCGTTTTCACAACATATGCGACAAAACAGCTTGCAACAGTGATATTGCTGCTTGTCGTCAGCTCGGAGGACTGTGTTGTGCAGCTCCTGGCTTTATTGTCAGCATTTATTCCACATCAAGTGTGCGCCACGTGGCCCAGGGTCACTTGGGGATTGCTCTGGCTTCTGTTAACAATTAACTTAATTAGCTCATTATTAGCCGCTTTGATGAGAAGAATAATTGCGCAATTACCAGCTGGAGAGAGGCGGCACGAGCCCGCTCCCATCAGTAGCTTCCATTCGTGCAGGTTAACAGTCTAGATCAAGTTGCACTTACACGCATGAGGATACTCCAAATGTCACTTGTTTGGCTTTAATTGTACAAAACCCGTCAGATTACGGCTCTGAATAGGGCACCCCCGTCGATGTGTCCTGGGACTATTAAACGGCTGCTGGGCACGGGGGTGCAGGGGGGGGGGAGGAAGAAGCGGATGCGGGGGGGAGGGGGAAGAGCGTGCGGGTTCGCCACTTAAACCAGCGACAGTGGCGACAGAGGAACTCAAGTGGCTCCGTCTTCGTCTTAGCTGGGTGACCCGCAGCGGTGAGGAGGCGCTGGCTCGTAAGCACGCCAGGCAAAAGCGAAGGGCCCCGTGTCGCTGGGGGGGGGGGGGTGCTCCGAATTCCTCAAATATGGGCGCGTTAAATTATATCTCTTATCTCTTATCTTGCTTATGTCTCTCTTCTCTCATCCTCACTACATCTCTCTTTTGGCTACATTCTCTATTGCATCACTAAATCTACATCTCTTATCTATACCTCATCCGTCATCTGCCTAGGATTTTCTACTTTTGTTAAGGGGAGCTCCCAAACGTAATTTATGATTCGGGTTCCAAATGTGCCATCACCACCACCTACCCTCAGGCAGCCCTGGTGGTTGTGCTGAGTGTTGTTGGAAGTGCTCACGAGGTCTGAGTGAGGGGGAAGAATCGTGGCTTCTAAGGCAGAGGCTTAAACGTTCGGGTTTTGGTGGATCACGCAGGACGTCGAGGCACGTGATGCACTCCCATAGACACGTGACTGGACAGGCAGGGGCTGGTGGATCGCACGCCTTTGTGGAACTCCCGAATACACTGGGAGTTCACACGTCGACAGCACCACAGCGAGCGGGTTCATGAACTCATTCATGCGCACGTGTGAGCGTCGTCTTCCGATACACAACGGACTGTCTTGTCGGCACTTCGGTTTCTTCTCGCATGCGGAAAACTCCTTACAATATTCTTCCCGCACTCGCTATCGAAGGCCCCGGTATCCAAGTTGTCACTGCTTGCAGGTCGAATTAGCCAAGAACGATCTTGGAACGCTCGGGAGAATATTTCGCAATGCTTCACTCTTTCCAAGTTGTTACAACCTTGCTCAGTTCAAGAGCCAAGTCTTTTTTTCTCTCAAATTTATGACACCGTCAATAGTGCCGTTTGTTACTGGCCACTCGGTGGTTTGCGCCTTTTTGGCCTTTGCGCTTGGCGATGTTGATAATAAAAAATAAAAGTCACGGTGGAAATCCGAGGCTTCCACCCCACCTCCGGGAACCGAAGAACGCCAAAGTAGCGGAAATAAATGCGCGTTAGGATTTATTGCAGTATATTTTTGCTTTCATCTCAGTGTTTTTTTTTATGGGGCTGTTTGTCACACGATGAAAGTTTATCGCAAACAGATTTCTCCTACCTCCCCCCCCTCCGAAATGTGAATGAGCCGACAGTGAGAACGCGCGCTCTGCCAGTGCCGCTCGCTCGCCCGGCCGATGTTTAAGCGGGCAGGGCGCGTCCAAAACCGTGACAAATGCGCCCGCCGCTGTAAATCTTAACGCGTTCACGCCTAGACTATATGCGAGGGCCGCCGCTGTTTATAAAGTGAATAAATATTTTATCAGGAGATGTCTGCTGCTGCTGCTGCTGTGTCGGCCCTGTGTTATACAGCTCTCTCGCAGAGCTATGATTGACTATATTGACAAGCGGTTGTAGCAGCTTTGAGCGCCCTTAGCAAGGGCTTAACTCGAAATGTTCCGGCACTGTCAGGCGGACGGCACTGGGTGGGGGGGGGGGCTTCTAAGTGGGTTGTTGTGTTCGCTCGACAAATAGAGGGGGGGGAACGTTAAATAAGGCGCTTGCCCCAGCGAAACGATGTTATTTTCTCTCGCGGTTCAGACATACTCAACGAAACAACTTTGTCAGTTTACCAGGTCAGGCCCCACTGAGCTATGTAGATTTTTTTTCAGAAGCGACATGGCCACAAATGATAGCTCAGCGAAGTGGCTCATCATCATCACGTGGAAATTTATAGCAGCCGAATACTCGGAACGCGTGATGTTCAGAATCATTCTAAATGTGGAGGGAAAAACCGGAGGACCCGGAGAAAAGTCCACGTGACCACGGGGAGAGAGACACGCAAACTCCAAATATACAGCAGTAGGCGTCAGGGTCGGGATCGAACCCACGAGTCCTCCTGCATACCAGGCGAGGTAGTCAACATCTCGTAGCCACCGTGGCACTGCGTGTGCCAGTGTGGTGTAAGCAGTCAGCTCGCTCCGCCGCGAGTTTGGCGACCCGAGTTACATTCTCAACTGGCCCAGTGTCTCCCTTTAGGTCGATTCAGCCTTAAACGAGTACCGACTGTGGTGTGTATCAATGCCACTGGGGGATCACCCCGTTGGTGTGGTGTGGCTGGCCCCATACCCAGCTGGCATGGGTCTGGCCACACCCCACCCCCCTTATGTGTTGACCAGCAGCACTTACCCCAGCACTTGAATGGCTATATATGGGAACGTTGCCTTTGTACATTCGTGTGTATGCGGAGTGGCAGTGTAGCAGTTAGTGAACTATGCTACAAACCCGGCGATCCGAGTTCGATTCCCGCTCACGGCCAACACCAGTGATGATTATCTGAACTCGTCCAGGACCTCTCCAAGGTCGACTCAGCCTTAAAGGAGCACGACACCTATTGCGATGCATAGACGTCGCCACTCAGGAGACAAAGGCGGGCAGGCGTGGTGCTGGCCACCCACCCACCCCTCGTGTTCCGCGCCGGCCTTCATAGGTGCTCGCTAGCAGCACTTGGCCTCAACATTGTGTCAAGGCTACACGGGGGATCTTCATCATTCGCCTTTGTTCGTGACGGCCACCACCTGAAAGTGAAATCCAATGAGCCTCGAATGAGGAGGGACTCGGCGCGGTGGCTGAACATCGGCGTCGAGGAGACAGTGGCAGCAGCGGCAGCTGAACTCCCTTTGGACCTCCAATGGGCGCGCCCTTTGAACCCGACGGGTCGTGTGGCCGCTTCCTTTCTCCGCACGATGCGCACGTGGCCCACGTGGCCCTTGCCTGCACACGATGCCCACGTGAGCTCTTGCCTGCACACGTGGCGTGAGGTGCAAGGCGACGCGCGTGCCGCTGGACCACGCGGGGCACCAGGAGACGGTGGACACGAAATGCTCCACGCATTCGAATGCCGCTCTCCGGCCGAACCCCGTTGTGGCCCCACGGTTCGAAGTTTGGCCGGCACATTCCTGACTCGACTTCGAGTGCACGCGCTCTCGGAGCGCCACGGGCACGAGGCTGGGCTGTTGCCCAGCAACAAGTGGGG